AGAGGGGGATAGAGGGAGAGGGGGGGTAGAAAGAGGGGGACGGGAAAGGGCATACTTTAAAAAGATAGGTCAGTAATACGACAAAGGCACCAACACACCAAGACATAGTGGTGAATAAAATTGTGTCCCCTCAGATCTTACTCCTGTAACCACGTGATAATAAACAGAATACACATCAGATCATTATAGAGTTGGTGAAAATCAATGATATAGGCCATCTTTTTTCAGGACAGAGATGGAAGAGTAAAGAAAAACAACATTTTATTTATGTTTAGACGGTGTGCGTGGGGGAAAGGAAGGGGGGGGGGTGGCAGGAGCTTTCTTAAAGTCTGAACGAAGACAGGGTAGATTGATCTGATCGCTGGTCTTTCGTCTGAGTGAAAAAATGAAGTGACGAAGCTGCGATTGGATGAGGAATGGACAGACAGCGCCGGGCAAAGAGAAGACGGATGTATATTATCTTGAAACGCGGACAGTCACAATGCCAACACCACGCCCTGCAGGAATATCTCTCCAATAGGTCCACATGAAAACGGAAAGTGAATCCAGTTTGGAAACCTCCCCTGCAGCTGAAGCGAGATAAAGTTCTGTGTCGGGGAGGATATTCGCCAGAACTTCGCAATGTTGCCGTTTTATCTAATTACGCGCGAAATTTCCAATGTAAGATGGCTTTAGAAATTCAATAAAGACTGGAGCAATGTGGGTGCTTCTGTTGGAAACTGCTTGTTTCTTTTCTTTCGCTTGGCTTCATTGCATCAGTGTGTACAGAATACTGATATTTCCTGTTGAAAGGGCAGCTTTGGGTCTTATGTAAAAGTTTGTATTTGTAAAATTCGATTCTTTTTTATAGGAGAACCCATAACGTTCTAATTTTACACGCGGTGAAAAGGGATATTTCGTCAACTCGTTGTGATTACCGCAAAATCATCATAATTTTGAAAACGCATTTATAAATCAAATTTCATGTTAAAACCTATCTGTTTTCTGACTTAGCCCGTAAAAAAAAGATTCTTTTCCGTACGGAAACATGAAAAATTGTTGGCACATTAATACAAATGTGGGACAGTGTGCCGTTGTGGAGTACAATACAGATGACATTGGTTCGAGTGCAGAAAGGAGCGTTCTTGAACTTTTTAGGTTTAATAACACCGCACTACTTAGATACAACATTTTAGTAGTGAAAAGTTGTGACCGGCCACATACCGAGTACGGCAAGATTGACTGAAGACTGGTTTGAGTCAGTTAGAGAATAGAGCAGTGTATCGCACTAATAAAGTGATAAATTAATTACATTTTTATTGATCGTAGAAGGGCAATTTGGTTTACAATAGTAATCATACATACATAC